TGCCAACATTCATGTGGACTCTTGACGGTTCATACTTTTCAAATTAGTTCTGATTAGTGTAATGAGATGTTTTGATGAAGTCAATTCTATTAATTTGCTTATCTCTGCTATAAGCAATGAGTTAATCCTTCTACTTGGTCAAAAGAGGTGAATCAGCTTAATTTCATATCAAAGACGCGAAAAGATTCTGGCGCTCCTGAGAGGGGTCTATTGCAATTCAACCTTACTTCAGTGAAATGGCAGTGTCTATATCACAGTTAGTAAGTTACCCATTATCAATAAAAGTAGTGAAATGTGTTCCAAATCATAATAGATTTACTACATTCTGCAATGTTTAATTCTATTCACTGGTCCTTTATTTTGACAAAAAACTAAACCGTGTGTTGATTTGGAGAATTTTATCACTTCAATTGAAGGGTTGTTGATTCGCTTAAAACATTATGTATTTGCTGTCAGGGTGAAATTTTCTAATTAAAAATAGCAAGAGCAGTTGGGTAGCAGGGCGATTGTGGGGAGAAGGGGGGGGGGAGTGGGGTAAACATTTTTCCCCAACTTTGATGAGGTACTATTGATTTTCCACCTCCATTTTGCTTTCATGCTTCAATTTGTCAATATGAAGCTCCTTTAAATAGTTTATGAAAAACATATTTTTCCTTATTCTTACTTGATTTTTGCAGTTCAACAATCTTTCCATTTCTTGTTCGTTTGGAGAATTAGATATTAATAATCACTTTATGCGAATTGTTGTGACTAATCGGTCGCGTTCAAACCTTCCAAAAAAGGAGAATATATTGTTGGTTTTTTAAACAAAGAAGTTTTAAGGTGCTATTGCTTTGTCCATGATTTGTGTTGGAAAATTCTTATCATCATGTGAAAACCATATGCCCAAGGTCCTAAAAGCGGTGATGTTTCATTTTCTCTTTTGATAAGGTCTATTATTTCATTACTCTACATCTGATTAGTATTAAATGTTTTAAGAATTGCTATCAATCTTTCTTTTCTCTTGTGATTTTAAAGCAAGTTCGAATTGCCGCATTATTTACAGTCCAAAGTCATAAATAACTCAAGCTGTGTTGCTTGATCGAAATGTGCTCAACTTTTTTTACTACTCATATGACAAGCCATGTTCTCGTACGCAGTGTCATAGTAACGCGTGATTATCTGTTAATTGAGTTTATGATGGAGTGACAATCTAGTCTAATGCAGCTACAGGGTTAGTTGTTGAATGATGTTTTGTATTCCATCTCGTCGTCACCGAGCCAGACGAGATTTGTCTAATAAGGAGAGGGACGTGGTCATGTTACTGTTCATTTTGCCCTGATTCCGGTTTCTATCGACGGGAGAGTTAAATCCTCTCGCAAAGCCTTAGACTCTTCCTGCGTTTGTGTTATTAAATTTCTCCTTAGATTTGTCTTAGTTACCGTTACTAATGGCGCCAGCATGAATACTACCGCAAAGAGTAAATTTGTCTCTAAAATACTTACTTCGAATTAAATACAAGGTGAAGGATACAAGATCTAACTTGTTATAATAAAAGGCAGGAAAAGTGGTGACTTATATTCTGTTAAAGGTCTCTTCCATTGTCCTCCCCGTAGAAAATTGTCTTCTTTGTTTAAAGCAGCCATTTTTTAAATTCGATTTAGCACCTCACTTGGTCAAGTTTTATTGCTTAATGCAAAGTGGTTGGTAACCTTCGTAAATTAAGCAACTTTGGAATAAGAATGCGATAATTGACATTTCTAATTCGGTTTAAATGCTTATTTGCACTTTTTGAATGGCCCTAATGAGCCACTTTTATTCGTGCTTCAGCTTGTGCATGTAAAATACGCACTCAGTGACTGACAGTAACCAGGCAACGTGAGATGGTGACTCAGTTTTTGTAGCTAAAGGGTATGCGTTACATATAACAATTTATAGCTAAAAGCATTTTATGGGCGCCTCAAGATAATTTCATACCCTGACCCTAGAAAAAATATTTAACATATGTTTATGCCTCTAGAGGAGGTAGTTAGTGTGTCTATTGTGGTCTTTGTTTCTGTTTGCATTTAACTATTTGTTATCAATTCGCTTACTGTTTTGATCCTCTTTTCTACTTCATTCACTGCAGTCCTCATTCTTCAGCCTGTGAATTATTCTTATATATTTCTAGCTATTTGTTGACTCTAGAGAGAGGGGGAGAGAGAGACCAGTAGTTATGCTAGTTATCTCTGTCCTACCTTTTTCTGATCTCATTTAGGCCTTCTAATGTTCTACACACTTCTCCATATTTGAATGTATATGCAAAGTCTTAATTCTGAAATGTTTTGTCTAGAGCTTGCAATATTTCTGAAGTACCTTGCTATGCATGTGCCATCATCTGAATCGGAATGCAGTCTGCCAAAAAAGACATTCATACTCCTTGCGAAAGTAACGCAAACAATAATGCCTTTCAATTTCATGACACTCCACCTAATTGCGTTAAACATTCAAACTTAATTGCTTGTGGCTTATTGATTTCATTGCTTCCAACGCGGAGAATGCGACTAATGCGAAGGGGGGGGGGGCATTTCTTCATCCAGGTTCAATCTATCTACCTTATTATTTCCCTTTTAAGGCGATGTCTAATAGGACTTGAAGAAGCCATATTCTACATCATCTGCCCATTATTGTAGGAAGTCAAGCCACTTATGCGGATAAATGGCTAAATTTAAGACTGTTGAGCGTTTGATTTAAAGAGGGCATCTTTTAGATACAGCTGTACAGATTGATCCCTAAGGCTAAGAAAAAATAGTAAGTTAGTCCAGAAATGCACTAGATTGCGTAATTATGGGAGGAAAGGACTAGCTTGCTCCAATGACCAATCCCATTATTCGATCTTCGCCTGAGTGCACATCAGGTCCTCTGTCTCTTTTGTTTCCCCACGTATTTATAAACTCTTCCGTATTGTCTGGTGTAGTTGTTATTCGTGAACTATAACATCGTGCGCTATCACAAATTTCTAAATGTATTTGTCCTCGTAATCTGTCCATGGACAGCCCTTATTTCTGTTCTTGAAATGTATCCAGTACGGAAGTTTCACCGTAGTCTCACCGCTTTATTTGTATATGCCTCATGACTTCGACAATCTATTTCTTTGGGTATAGTGCTCACAAATTTTTTTAATCATCACCTAAAATCTCACCACAAATCTTCAAATTGCAAGAAATGGTGAACTGTTGTGGTGAAACTTGTCGAGTAAACGTAACAATAAGTTTTTCGTATTGATAATAAATATACTTCTCTCTACAAATATCCCTATTGCTGCCAGTCCTGCTTTCAGGTTTTATTTCCATATCCAATTAGTGAGAATAAGAGCTGAATATTTCCATTCCTCTCGAATGTAATGCAAAAAAATTAAGTTATGTGCTCACTTGCTCACAAATGTACTCAAGTTACAAGTATACATTTCGGAGGGCGTGTGGGAGTGGGGAGAGGGGCGGGTGAGGTAGTATGATATAGAAAAGGCACCAGCGAAGTTCTTTTGCACAGGTGATAAATCTTCATGATTTTCAAAGTTAGCAATCATATGCTTGACATTCATTTGGCGCCTAACCAATAACAGGTGCTTATTGCAGGTGCTTCTATTATATCTTCATTTTACAGTGTAGATGAATAAACTTTTATTGATCAAGTATATCCATCAGGAGGAGTAGTGGAATGTGCCTTCCTCACTAAAATGACACCAGGAGACATCCCCTCCTCTCAGTTTAAGTTTTGCTAGAACTTCCCTTGATGGAATTTAAAAGTTGTCCCCTCAGCGGACTTTGAATCGTGATGGGCCAATATTCCCTCTAACAACCTCATTCAGATTAATAGTCAAAATTACGAGCCGTCATCGTATCTGTTACGATCAGCTCTTCTTTGAAGGTCACCGTAGACGTCTCTTAGAGTCTATAGTACATTGCAGTCAAAATACCAAACTAACCAAACCACCTTGACAAAACGTGGCGAACAGTTTCCTTATAGGATAGATTAGCATTTACAACCGGGGTGTAAATTAGTTCTTCCCAGTAAAAGTGAAGATACAACTTTCTCATTGTCAAGGTAAAAATGTATTAATGAGTAATAATTTCTAATTTCCCCTTCGATTAGTGATTACCTGCTATATTGCTTTTCAGAATTAATATGAATTACGCTATACCGCATGTAGCTTGAGTTGAACTGTAATGAGTTTTCGCTGTAGTAGCAAGAACTCCTGTTTTTCCCTATTCTGGTTGGGTTATCACCTTTTAGGTCGTAAATAAGTGGCACCACTTTAAAAAGGCTATTATAAAAGCATAAAACCGAGCTTTAAAGTTTCGTTGCTTTTCCTTCAATACTTTTCGAATTGAGCTAATTTTCATTTCATTCATCTATTAAGCGCGCATTTTCATTCATTTAAAGAGGTGTTTTAAGTAACATTTTAATTTAAAATCTATCCTTTCCAAATTGGAAAGTTCTATGAAGTTAATACTTGTATTGAGACTGTATCTACTGCACAATCGAAATTCAGCATTCGCCTATGCATTGGACCCACATCTCCTCCCCCCCTCCCCGCCTTAATTTCGTTCAGTAATTGGTCCAACCCTCCCTGCCTTTCAATTATTAATAGGCCTCCTCCACATTGTCCACCATTGTTTTTCTTAGCTTGGCACTTCCAGTAGGTTGCAGTGCATTCCTACCAATCTCAAGGCTGCCGCCTGATAAGCGTTTTCTTAATGCAAGTATTACCCAACCACTTCTTTTGTGTCTCCTTTCCCACTTGGGTCGGTGGTGTTTGCGAAACTGCGAAAGGCAGTGGTTGAGTTGCTTTCTTTCCCTCTCTCCCTCCCTCCCTCCCTACCTCCCTCCCTCCCTACCTCCCTCCCTCTCCCCGATACTGAACCTCTAATTAATTTCACGTTCTGTGTTTCACTATGAGATTGAGGCTCTTGCACTATTCACGTTTTGACCTAACGAGTATTTATTTATCTATTCTTGAGTGTATTTCTTTCAGACCGCTGATGGTGCTCGTTCAGCGTTTGACCCTTTTGGCGGCCAATATTTGGGACGGCCAAAGGTTGAAATCCGAGGAAGAGGAGAAAAAGAAGACTGATGATGGAGAAAATGGAACACAAACCTCGAAGGTATCTGGCCAATTGACTCCAATCTGCAAACAATACGCCATTCTGTAAGTTGCCTCCTTATTTATTAACAAGGAAAACATTAGCAGTTTCACCTTATAGATACTATTTTATTGATCGCTACATTATTAAGTATTTTCTCGCATGGAGAAATTGTATTACAAATCCTTTGCCGACTTGTTTTTTTACTAATTTAAGTGACTTTTTGTCGTGAAGAGCCAAGCACTTTTCTCTTTGTTTCGAAATTTAACCTATTTTCAATTCTCCTTACATTGAATTCTGCCAATTTTCTTCCAACTTGAACATATTTCTTCACAAAGTATCAAAATAGAATTATTTGCGTCGATGTTGCCATGTCGTGGTTGAGAAAGTCAGTCTGATAGCTTTAGGGTGTGACAAATGTGTCACTCCTCTATTTGCACACCCACACCCCCACACCCCCCCCCCTCTACAATTCAATAATAGATTAGTTCTTTGGTCTTTAGGTTTCAAATCCCCTATTTTGAGAGGTTTTTTGTCTAAACCCTTGAAAATTAACTTATTAATCCATTAATCGATTTATCTATCAGGTCTCAAACGTTTGTGTAATGCCGATGGTGCTTTGTTGGCTCCACCACTGACTTCAAATGAACGACAGCTTTTGGCCAAAAAAGTGCATGAATGCGGAAACTTGTTGAAAAATTAGCCCTCCTAAGACTTCCAAATTGGTACGACCTACTCGACTAATAGTAAATTATGGGTGCGCTCATATAAATACTCCAAATCGATTAATATTATGTTATTCTCCTTACAATTCGACGCTTTACTCACCAATGTTTAAACAAAGCTCTACCATGGCTACTGTAAATGCAAGCAGCACTTATCTTGATGAGAGGTATTGTGTCTTGGAGGCTGCAGAGGTGTGTTGCAAGTTCAGAAAGACTCAGAGCTTTCTAAACCATTTCAAGATAGAATTGAGTTAGGGTATTCCGGAATTGCTCTAAACAGAAACACTCATGCTAACGTCCTTCCACATCAGTGGATATGCGTCCACTGGCGTTGATCTCTTAACCTCTAGCATCGCATTGACCCCTGTACCTTAGGTACATTAATATCACGGAAAGGTCAATTACCATTCCAACAGCAAAGAAATCCTTGCTTTCCCTAAGGGAAATATTCCAAATTTACCTTTCTTTATTTAATTCAAAATTATCTCTCTGTTCCTTTTTTTACCTACTTCATGACGTTAATATAATTTCGAAATTTGCTTTGGATTTGAAGTTTTAACTGAACAAGTATGTCGGCCAATTTTATCGATTAGGAATATCTCTTCCAGTGGAATTTCTTCGGCGATTTAATTTCTTTTAAATATTTGTTGATGTATATTATTCCCTCCATATTGTTCGTTGCTTGATTGGTTTTCTTTGGCGTTTATTTAAAATTGTATCCAGAACACTAGAGGTTATTTTCAAGGTCATTTGGGTTGTTGATTGTTCGCTTTCGTAATTGCGACAACTGGAAGAAGAACAAAATATGTCATGAAAGGACATCTTTAAACTTTAAGGAATCGACAGGATTCAAATTAATCTTTAAAGGATTTGTATTTAAATTCCTTGAGGGGCAAGATCAAATCGCTGATATGTAAGATGTCAGTATTGGGCCAAAATGATTCCCTTCCATTAAGCGTCAGTATTTTACCTCAAATCGGCACTTAGATTTGAGTAGTGCTCTAGCTGTGCGTGTGTGTGTGCTATGAGACCTTAATTAACACGCGTAGGAGTTAATGATCGATCACGCCTTGTTTCCTAGCTGTCACTATGTCTTTAATCTAGTTAGTCCTCGGTGTAGCTTTCATTTGCCTACCCCAGCACCGACACGGGCCTTCCACTCGATTACTCAGTCTCTAAGTGTCAATAGAAATGCAATACTTACCTTTTGTAGAATCTCACATGGTAAACAATTCGAATTAGATGGGTATAGCATAGGGTTTCTAATTTGGTGTAATTCCGTGGTATGAAATCGGATCATTCAGGGTCCTTTGCATGAATTATGAGCTTGTCGCTTTCTCGTACGTTGTGCACTTCCATGTGAAATATCCCAATATTCAAACGCCATGAATTTACTTATGGATTCTTTAATGAGGCAATATTCGCAACAGAGGATTTATAGCCAATGACCGGTGGAGTAGACCAGCACGAATTTTTTTACCCAGGCAGTTTTCACTGGAGCTCAATCAATGCTGGTGAATGCTACAGTTCTCTTAATGCAGTAATTATTGTAATGGTGTGGGAGGGACGTTTGATAGGCATAAGACAATTACCAGCAGCTTTTCATAGATTTGACGGCCAACTATTCAGTGCATTATCATTTGGCCCAAGAACGCCCCATTAAAATAATTTAGTGGTTAACTTTCTTGTGCCCACTAAATTGTTGCCAGTTAATTCCGACTCAACAGAATTTGAGATCACTTTCACTAGTTTCCTCTTTTTGTTTGTATATATTTTTATTGGACCGAATGGATATTAAAAATCACAGTATTTTAGAACTCTAGTTTTATTGATTTTCTATTAGTGAATCACATTTTGACAATAAAACCGAGTTATTCATGCAATTAAAATTTTTGTAAGCTAACTTTAAATGCTTTTTTTCAACATCAATCTCCTTTCCATTTCAGAAAAGAGTGATTTACGCTATTGTTGTATGCCAGGCCGGTATCTTGATCTATCAATGTTGGCTTGACATACTGAGTGTTATTTGATTCATGTTGACAGCCTATCGCGCTTTATGCTGCACCGAAATTGAGATTGCTTGATTACCCCTCTGTGAACGTTCTAATGCCAAATTTCTCCCCAATTGCATTACTTAAAGTGCAATTTACGATTTCAATGGTTTTCAATGATCTTTTCTTGTGCTCTTCCCCCTATTCAGAGAAATCCCAAATCCACTGGAATTCTTCTCTTACTGCCTAAACTTCCAAACCATTATGGCAGGTCCACCGATTACCTTCAGAGATTATCGCACCTTCATTGAAGGCAGAGAAGCTGAGGATAAAAACCTCAATCCCAAGCAACGTGCCTACTTCGTAAGTCAACGTTAATCGGTTTTTATTACATGAGAGGTTCTTGTTTTGCGAGCACCCAATTAAAAAAACCGGGAAAGTTATTATTATTATTGTTTCAAATGGCAGGCGTTTTGCATATTTATCATTAGTCATTTAGCTGACTTCGGGCTTCGCAGAGGGAGGAACATCAAAGTGAGAAAAATTCGTGAGGGGGAGCAGAAGAGTGATTCACGGATGTAAAAGATACAGACAGACACAAAAGCAGAGAAAAGATGAGATGAGTACTGCGGAAGTGGTTGAATGTGACTTACAGTGAGGTAATGGTAGTTTGAAGTGAGAAGTCAACTGTCGGTTAATAGACCTTTTGCCGTATAAGCATACGTTCCCCAGGGTGCACCACGTGGAGGTAAGTCTATCTCACACCCCAAAAACGGAAAAGTAAACTTACCTATTACCCTTTCCAGTTTGAATAATGGCACTTTCATACAAAGGGAAGTTAGTATCAGGTAAGAGGAAGAAGGGAAGCCTATTGGGTAGGCTATAACTTAAACCTTCTATTTCTCAGTCGAGAAGTCCTCCTTAGTTGTCGAAGTAAGGCGTTTTTATAGCCTTCCTAACAATGGAATAGGAAGGCCAGAATGACGGTGTATGGATATATAGTTTTATTGGGCTAGCAGTGATGCCCGGGGGAGGGGCGGGGGAGGGCAAGAGGGAGTGGAGCAGGAGAAGGGCAATAAAGCCACAAAATAAGGAACATATTGAGCGCTTGCTTTGTAATATTAATTTTCAAGCATCATAGCTGAATCGAAATCTCGCAATGGTCAGTGTTTCTAAATTTCATATTTGTTCATAAAGAATGATCTAATTTTCTTGTTGATTCCCCTGCTCTTTCACCTCCATTTGGGCATGAATCTCAGTGCGGGGTGGAGGGGTGGGGGGGTGGGAATCCAGCGCATTGGGAAATGAATAACTTCATGGAAGACGCAGGACTTTGTTGCATATGTGAATCCAGTTTTATCTCTGAGCTCTAAATTATTGTTCTTTAATTTACTTTCCATACATGCGCTTTGCTCAGTCAGTCGATTTTAGGCTAATTTACTTCTAGATAACTTAATTAAGTTTATTTATATCAAATGGCGGGCGTTTTGATAGTTATCATTAGTCCTTTGTTGACTTCAAGGCTTCACAGAGGAGAGGAACATCAAAGTGAAAAAAAGTTTAGGAGGGGGAGGGGAGGGACAGAAGAGTGTTTCAACGATGTAAAAGAGACAGACACAAAGATAGATAAATGGTGAGGTGAGTACTGTGAAAGTAGTCGAATATGACATGGGGTTAGGTCATGGTAGTTTGAAGTCAGAAGTCAACTACCGGTTAAGTCATGATTTTTTATATTTTGGAGGCACTTTTGAGCTTTATGGTAGTAAATGGCGTTTGGCGCCTTGTTCGGAAATTGCAAATGAGTCTTAGTTTTGTAAGCTGTATCAACGCTACTCCTCAAACTCGATGTAATATTGTTACTCCTCTAGGAAAGTAAGACGCAATCGACCATCCAAATTATGTTTTCCATAAGTGTGGATGTTACTTAAGACCACCGCTCAATTTTATGGCACAAATTGCAATTACTTT